CAAAAGCAGCAGAGAAATGTCGTTTTCCCGGGCTGTTCACACGAGCTTGTTCACACTGAGGGCTGGCAGTAGATGGCAGGAGTGATCTAAGCCCAGCCACATCGGATGACATTAAAGGGAAAAAGCTGTCCCTCTTTTAACTCCTAGATAAGTCATTTACATCCCAGGACTACAAAAGAAAAGAGTAATTCAAAATATCTGAGGGAGTAAAAGAACCTTCACTAATTTGTAATGAAAATAATGCTGAATATGAATACCCTAATAACCACTGCACCTGATCAAATACACAACTTCCAAACTGATTTTAACACTAAAAATAAAGCTCAAGGAGGAATTCAGCATGTCTTGCTGTTTTTGTAGAAGTTACAAGAAAGCGCTTTGAAAATAAATACTCTAAAAAATCAACTATATTGAAAGAATTCTGATGATACATAAATGAAAAAAATCAAGACTTTAAAAAATATCTGGGCTTCATTTTTTGTTTGACAGTTTTCAATACATTCTATGATTATGCATTAAAAAACTTAAGACTTTTATTCACAGCAACTTTTGGGCATTATCAGTCTGAAAAGTGCAGAGTTGATTTAGCATCAAATTTCACATTCTTATATAAAATGTACCTTTCTTTTCTTCATCACTGAGTCAAATTATCACTTACTTGGCAATCTCTCCCATGAGTTGCCCTGAAGGTCCCCACGGATCATCATTGGTTGCTTCTCGAACCTTAGACTCTATTTCTGAATAATTCATAACCACATTGGTGCTGCAAAGGAAAAAAAAAATTCACACACATGAAGATTAGCATCAAAACTGAGAAACACATGAAAACTTAATAATGACACTAGTGCAGATCTCACTTAATGAGATACCTCTACAGAGTGGGAGAGAAAACAGCTTTAGTGCACAAGTCACCCTGAGGACACTATACACCACATTTAAGTTATCTTTAAGAAGGTTTTACTATTCTATTAGTCTTCAAGAATACAGATGAGAAACTGGGGATTACATTACAGCTGGATTTAGTCCAGTAAAAATGGCTTTGGGTCAAATTAGAATGCAAACCAATCCACCAGAGTCAAAGTTGATGGCTTCTGCAGCTAGGTATGGTTTGCTTACAGGTTTGTAATGGTACAGAGTTATTTGCAAGAGGCTTTATAACTCAATCAGAGGCAATTTTTTTTAGAATGTTACAAGAGAAAAATCAAGAACATCAGTACCAAACAGGTGTTAGTGAAAAACTAACAAATAAAAAAAATCACATGGAAGACTAAAGTAAGGGAGATGAGATTCACTAGAAAGTCTGTTTCCTAGCTTGAATTTAATTAATTAAGGGAAAACAGCAAAAGAGAAGCTGCAGAGCACTCAGAATTACAGCAATGCAAATACTGTAAGGAGCTCAGCTGTCTCTTCGAGAGGTCACAGAAAAACCTTACTTGGAAAAGATTTTTTCTGTGATCTTAATATTAAAATAGTAAATATGTGATTTCTTCTTAATAAATCCTCAAAACAGGTAACATATGAGCCCAGCAACCTCCTTTGTGCCCCTAAAAGATAACACAATCATTTCCCTCATCTTTTAAGGCGAGTGAGCAGCCCCTCACTCATAGTGAGAAGGTTTGAAAACTGCTCTCTGCTTCTGGAGCATGAGGGCTCACCCCAGTAATGAAATCAGGAGTGAAAAGAGACCTGCTGGTCTCTGCTTTCTCTTCATACCTGGAGTGTACTCAAACAACACATTTACACCTAGCATGTCAGAGGTTTGAAAGTTTACTTGAAAGTGCATCATAACTGATTCAGAAGCTAAGAAAATCCCATGTGAGTACTTTTAACAGAAACCAAACCACAACAAGAAAATTAATTAAACTGTAGGAAAGATCTAATGATTTATAGTGCATTGTGGAGAAAGCATTTGCTGCTTAAGAACTTCTTCTGAACCTGAATGACCTAAAAGGATAAAAAAACCCCAAGATGCTCAATAGTCATCCCAACAGTTATCCCTCTGTCCGTGTAGGAGTTTGCACAAAGCAGCATTCAAGCAACTCCTGCTCAATTTTATTTGGCAGAAGGATAGCAAAGATCTTGGAACTGGGAGATATAAACAGCAGAAACAAGAATGAAATCCCCTTAAGTCTGAAAGGGGACACAGAAGGTAATTGTTAAAACAGAATAAAATTTCTGGACTTAATCTTGGATTCTCAGCATGACAATTCCTGCTGTCAGATCCTGATGTATGATTTTATTCAACTTTGTGTCTAAAGAGAGCATAAGCTACATGACTGAATAAATAATCAGCAAGCTCCCAGAACCTATCTATATTACTACAAGCATGTAAGAACACAGCAGCAGTTTGGAACAACAGCAATTAAGGTTTTACAAATTCATTTATGCTGAGTACACCTCAAGCTTCTGTTTCTGGTATTTTCTTTACTGTACATACAAATGTAAACCAAGCCCATCTTTATTTCCCATATGTGTGGAAAAAACACAACCCCAAAGCTCCAGGATTTGCAGCTTCCAGCACACTGGTTTCCCTTGTCCAAAGCAAGGAAAGGCAGGGAACTAAATGGAAAGGTTCTGCTTGTTTTTATAACCCCTCCTTCAGCATTTGTTTAAGAGACTTGATGGAGACTTGGGAGGGGGAAGCATAAAATGAAGTATTTCCTTAATTCCTTAGAGCGAAGAATTTACGAATGGAAAATGCTTGAAGAGATGCAAACTTAGTGTACAAAATAAATGGCAGGATTGGCTATGCAAAAGCTCGGGGCACGTGGCTAAGGCAGCAGCGGGGCTGGAGGGGGAAACGGAAGGAAAACAAGGGAAATTAAGTAATGCCAAGAGAAAAAAGGTGCAGTTAAGCCTAAGTACAGAAACATGCTTGACTCTTGAATCCCTCCTGCAGATAAGTTATTGTTCTCAGTAACTAGGAGAAAGCTCTTTTATAAATGCCAAGCTGAGATCTAATGGAATGAACCATTCCAAACCAAAGCATCTTAGAGCCACATTTAATTCAGGAACAAATGTAAACTTCAAGGAGGAAAAAAAAAAAAAACCCTCACTGTTGTATAGTTTGGCATCATTCCAGGTCACTTAAAAATAACCATTTCTAAAAAGGTGGAAATACAGTTTTATTCTTCCTTTCCCATGTTTTCTATGGCCCTCATTCCCTGCCCTACCCATGATTCCTGTGACCTTTGCAGCAAAAAAATAATTTATGTCCAGATGTGAAGGGAAAAAGTGACTAGCTTGATTGCCAAGACTTCCTGTGATTGATATAAATTTAATATCCGAGGACACTTTCCGACACCAGGGGGGGCTCTCCGATTAGTTTATCCTGGGCAGTTTCCAGGGAATCGTGCTGGACCGCATGGACAGGCTGCTCTGCAAACAACAGCAACACTCGGGGCTGACAGAAAGAACTTCTCAGGCAGGGCTGACAACCCCCCTTATCTGCCAGACTACCTCTGATTCACCCCAAATCACTGAGACCCTGCACCACAGGAATCTCGTGACAAGAACAGTTACAGAAACTTCTGACATGGACAAAGATACTAAGCAGGAAAGTATATTCTGAAAGTTATATCCAAAATAAGGGCACAGCAATAAAGGGGCTGACATGAACATCAACATTTAAGTGTTACATTCTTCTGTGTCTTACATTTAAATATATTAAAACAGATTAATGACAACTGATTCTTTTTACTCTTTATTGTACTCCTCCCAAGTGATTTCAGTGTAATTTTTTATAAAAAAACAAAATTGTTTTTGAAAGCCAAGAGGGGGCACTGTCACATCTCTATGGAACAAGAAACACTGTGGCAGTGAGCAAAATGCTTTTAATTTTCTTGTAACTTTATATGTTTGCATCTGCAATTTACAGCAACACTAAACAGGTAGCTCAAGCCTAGGACTAAATTCCTCTTAAGCAAATAAGTGGACATTGCTAGTAAAGTCAGTGGACAATAGCTGCAAACACCTGACCATCTCCAACTGCAACAGAAAAACCACATTTCCCCTTAAATGTTTTACATGCATTTTATTAACTATCATATAGCATATAATGAAAATATTCATTTTCATTATATGTTAATACATACCCTGAAATCCTACTTGTCCACAATTTTGTCTGCATTTTTCAAATAATTCAGTCAATTGTAAATAGCTTCAAATTTTATTCTAAGTTACATTTTGAGATTTATACACCTGAGGTAAGATATCATCTGGGTCCAGGTGTCATACCCTACAGTGTGCTAAAAAAACCAAAAAATAAGCAAGAGGGGGAGAGGAGAGAGATGAAAAAGGGGAGAGCAGTATTGAACATATCTCAATTGTGTAATTTGAAGTAAGAATTGTGTTTAGCTGGTATTAGGGAGAACTAACAGGCAGCAAGAGGGGACCAGAAGTTCTGTTCCTGCTCATATAAAACTCAGATCAGAGACTCTGTGAAGGTACAGCCAAAACATTCATCAGTATCTGCCACTTCAACATTTACAGTTGCAATACCATGAGAGCATTTGAACTTTCAGGCATGAAGAAGACAAAAATCCTACAGGTCTGAGATTGTCCTCAGCACTTTTCTTTGAAATAGGGAAATGAAAGACAGCTTGTGGATGACCTGCATGAAAATAAAACCTTACAGACTGCAGGAACCCTTCACAGATGACACACAAAACAGGCAGACTAAGAGCAGCTCTGTCTTCCTCCTCCCTATCAGCAGATACTGAATGTAACCCACATAAATACACATGACCACTAGTAAGTGATAAATGTATCTGCAGAAAATTTCTATTTGTGTTCATTTCAACAGACTCCAACAGATATATCTGCCTACTCTGCTCAGGCTTCTGATTTTACACAACACATGAATCAAGCTGTAATTCTCAGAAGGACAATATTGACAGGCATGAGGTATATTCTGCTCTCAGTAACAAATTAGTGCTTTATCACTGTTACATTTTCTTCTTCACTCCATAAAATAGTCACAAAATAATTACTGAAAAATATTTCTTTTTCTATTCCAGACTAAGAAATTATTTTAAAAACTATTTTTATGTTGGCAAAGTAAAATCATTGTACTTCCACCCAATATGCTAATAAAAAAATTAAATTAACACTATTTAATACAATACTATTTGACTACATCCTGAATAGAAATGTTTGTTTCAGAGTGAAGATTTTTCATTGCTCAGGACTACAAGGTATTCTCTACAGATTCATATGCTCTAACTGAAGTCAATTATCTGTTAGGAGATTACAATCACTTATGCACAACTATAACTGTACTGCTTCTAGTGATAGCTTCCAATTGGTAACATTACAATTAGTTTTGTTGTGCCTGAACTGATTATCCACATCAATCATTGCTGGTTCCACACTGAAAGAAAAAATCCCACCCTAATTCTCTCTGCATCATACACCTTGAATCAGAAACTCTTTGAAAATATGCATGTGGAGATACAAGGCTCTGCATATAGTCAGCAACATAAATGGAAGAGTATTTTCTCAGCTAATGTCTACTCTAAAATTAACCCTCAAACAACATTTCATAGCAATGATTTAAATACACTGCTAGCAAACCAGCTACAGGAAAAGGTGCAGCAATTTTTGTTTATGTGATTTAACACTTTGGTGAGAACTCGGGATGCAGCATGAAGCACTAGAAGCAGTAAATACTTCATTGCCCACTTTAGGTCTTCCCTAAAGAACATCACACAGGTATTTCCACTTCATGCTTCCCCCCAGCATCTCCTCCATCTTCCACATTTTCTCCATGGTCAGTGGCGTTCTGTTCCTTCACCACCCTGACAATACACTCAAGTGCATGAAATCACAACTCCTAAACAAAGCTTGCAGTTTATGCCCAGATTTTAGGAGCAACGTTCTTTGGAATAACTATTCCTAAGATAATCTTTCATCAGGAAAGGAATAGCATTATACATCAAATTTTCAGATCTTCAAATATCAAATAAACTCAGCCTTTTGTATGAATGCTCAAATACCAGCAGTTTCTTAAACATGCAGAAACCTTTCAAGAGCATGTGCACAGCTAGCCTGCACTTGAAAAAATAGGCACCATGAGAAAAGGAGGTATTTATGCACTAAAGGTAATGAAAGAATAATAATATCTATCCATCCATCCACTCAGAATCCAACTTACTTGAAAACATATTAAGGAATCAGAAAACCTAACAAATCTTTGCCAATGTTTCTGCACAAATGTAAAAAAAGCTTTGAATACGCCCTGGGGCGAGAGTGAGAGCAGTGCATTGAAGGCAGGTCAGGATTAGAGCTGCCATTGATGTGGGTGGAGTCACCCAGGGCACAAGCACAACTCTGGGCATCACATCCACAGAAGATTTGTGAAATGCCAGGTCTAATCTTATGACAACTAAAATAACCAGAAGCCACAGAGAGGGGACATTACAACCGTTTCTTTATAGTGATGATAAAGGTATTGGATTGGACAGGGTGAGCCTAATTAGAAACACTTCTCAAGCCTCTGGGAAGCTGCCCACTGTGCTGAGGGACTCGGCTGCAGGAACAAGAAACCTGGCAACACACTTAAATTTTTTTCAATGTATATTTCAAACCAATTACAATATCATGTATACATAGGTCTCCTATGTGCATAATATTATACCTTTAACTATTACTCCAAGGACACCACTGTATTATGCACCTTCTGTTTTCCTTTTTTTTTAATTTTACAACTGGGAACACTAAAATACTAAGCTGAGATGAGGAACTTTGAACATTTCACCACCGTTAACAGTTTCCAATGAGACACCATTCTGCAAATATCTGCTTAAAGACTAAGCATAGAAAAATAAAAATTCAAGCTTTACTCACATGTATGTACCATACATCCAGTATGAACATTAAAGCTATTCAGCAACACTAAATAATTTTTTTAAAAAAAATTAGTCTATTAGAACAGGCAGGGTCTGGATAAATAGAGGACAAGAGAAGCTCTGTTACTGTACAACACTATGAAGTGCGGCGCCAAAGTCTTACAAGAAACAAGTATTTTAACCTTTTGTTATTTAATGTGCCAAAACTGACACAACATGATTTTATCTTCTGAATAACTGAATAGAGAAGAACACATGCATATGGTTCATTTATTCACCTTTCCTATCTCCACCCTAACATCCCACCATTTCTATGGAAAGGCACCCAGGTGACAACTGCAGTGCTTTCTCTCAGGGATGGGGTGTTACCAGCACGGAGGTAGCTCCAGGCAAGCTGGATGCCTGCAGTAGTCACACCTGGAGGCTGGGCCAGCTCCCTGTCCCTGCAGGGGCTGCCACCTCTGTCTGCCAGCAGCTGATTTTCCCAAAAGCTCCCTCTCAGCTGAGGAGGTGGTCTTCACCCACTAAGACAAGAAAGTGACCACGAGTGACTGCTCACATGACCCATGGTACATCTTTTAGGAGTATTATCCAAATGCAACAGCAGCAATTTGTGCTCAGATTTCCCGAAAACCAGTAGAGGGGCTGAAAAGGCAAAATGACATTAACGTAATGTAGAGTTGCTTCTAGACATTTGAGATTATAGCTGGTGTTGTTTTTTAAAAGAGTGAAGTATTGAATGCACTATATAATGAGCCAAGTGAACATTCATCATCTGGAGAAGAGACAAGGCAGGCCCTGGCAATATTTTCACAATACAGTTATCTAGAAGACCCCCACCCACAGACACACACACAATTAAAATGAAGCCCTCAGAGAGGAGTGAACACCACCTCATCTCGCCATTTAACTCCTGTGAGTCATGCATCTGAACTATTTTTAGTATCTAGATTAAAAGGTTTCTGTAAAGGAGGGGTGGAAATAGAGGGAAAGCTTTTTGAGAACGCAAAGCAGCTGCTTTAATGTTAAACGATCCTTTCTTAAATTGTGTGCACAACTACTGTGTGTTTCAACTACTGAGAACACACAGTAAATAAAAAAGATACACAACTTGCCCAAGTACAGGATACATCTCCCACACCCCCAGGTGTAGGAATCTTGGCATCTATTAAACTGTTAATTAGTTTCCAGAGACACTTTTGCCAATTAAAAAAATCACTTAATACTTATCCATCTGGGCATGAAATACTTTCAATAGAGCATTTGAATTGGTGAGCTAAAACAGAACCAATCCTAACACAAACCACCAGAGGCCAGGACATGGAGCAGCACCCCATAACTAGGGGCAGCATCTATCAACTCCACTTGTTTCTGTGAGCATCCCTTCCTTCAGGCTCTGAGAGATTCCAGATGATCACTGGTCCAAATTTGTGTTCCAACAAACTGAAAGGATTTAATACAAAGTCAAAAAGAAAAATGCATTTCAAGATCAGATTTAAAAATGCATTTTGGGGTAAGATTTCACTACCCTATGACACTGTCACTTGTTATCTTAGAGAGCTCAGTGTGCAGACTGGTTCACAGACAGAGGATATAATTTATCCACCTGTTGTCCCAAACAATGCACTGGCTATTCAGGAATCTATGCACCTAATGCTATTAACAATTATTCAGAGAAGGCATTAATCACCTTCCAAATAAAGATGGTGCTGCTCTTCTCTTCAGTCAACTCATGCATTCCATCTCAGCCAGCCTCTCTCCCCTTGCTGGTGAAGACAAACTAACTAAAAAACATGTAACAAACTCAATGCATTTTCATTTTGCTCCTGTCAGTAATGTCACTTTTGTTATAAAACATGCAGCTTAGATTTAGAGCCTTACAGATAAAACATATGGATACCAAATAGGAAGCCAGCAGTCCACATTCAACAAAGAAACAGATGGGGACCCATCTGCCAAAATGTCTGGTGAAATACCTCAGGTTACAGAGAGGTAACAGCACAACATTAGTGATACTTGACCGTTTGAAGTTCTTACTTTTTCAGCCACTCCTCAGAACCATTACAAATATGTCAGTTTAGTCCATGAATGCCAGGTATTATTCCAGACCTTCTATGCAAGGAGCAGTCATACTCCTGGCCTATGATACAATCTTCATTATATACAGTAGGATTTGAAATACATTTTCAGCTTTTCAAGTTCAGTTTCATAATTTATGTGGCAGATGTGCAAGGCAAACTGCACAGAAAGAGATAAGCCAAGAAAAACATCCTGATGGCCAAAAAAGAATTATAACTTGTGGGAGGAAGGAACTATAAAGCTATTTCCTGTGCCTTACAACTTCTAATCACAAAAGACTACCAAGTAAACAAAATAGCCCCAAATCCACCACACACACTGTCGAAAAGAACAGTGACTTTAAAAATTAAATTGCAGCCTGTTAGAGAACTCAGATCTCTTACTTACAGAAACCAACACTAGACCTTACTGAAGTCTTCCCTTTCAAAGTTTCCCCATCTCAGAAGTTCCCAATTGCAGAATGCTATATTCTAAAAGGTTTTGTAATCTCTTGCTACAGCTGAATTATTTTTTGCAGATGTTGGGAACATGAAGGAACATGGCAGTTTTAAAGTGTATTTGTGCAAGGAACAAACACTTCCTCCCCCACTTGATTTAAGACTGATTTCACCTCTCCTACTACAGATTCCCTGCAGTATGTCAGTGTTAATACTTCCATACTCTTATATAAAAAACTATCCCTTGTGCTTCACCAACAGATACATGGCTGCTTTCTGTATCTTAATATGTAGCAGTAAATAACTTCTCAAAGTTATCAAGAATTTTGCCATGTTGATAATACTGATTGTGGGCTTATATCACCTCTATACAAAGTGTACCTTCATTTAAAGTTCAGACCCATTTCTTTCTTTCCCCATTTTTAATGGGAAATTTTCATTCCAAACACCCACCTTCACATTCTTCAGTTACCATCCCCTAAACTTCACCCATTATAGACTATCTTCCCTTCAAATTAATATTTCTGCAGTTCTATTTCTGAAGGCTTAATAGTGTTGTCATTTTATTATACTTAATTCAAAAAAATTCTTTAAAAGGTAACTTACAAAAATAAATGCTACACTCCAGCAAGTAGAATGAATCAAAATATTTTATTTTAATTTACATAGTAAGAGTGCCATAATAGTATTTCCACTGGTTTTCAGTATTAGTTTTTAGGTCACATTTCTGTTGAAATTGGAGGACAATTACACACAAAGCATTCTTGTGACAAATCTGATTAAACTTAATTATGAAAACCAATTTCACAAACAAGTGGGAAGAAAGTTGCCATTGAGGCCACACTTGACACTTTGGTGGGACAGTGACATCTAAACAGTAACTCTAGTTTTGATCCAGACCCAAAAACGATGCTGCTACTGCCCTGTGCAGGTTTTCAGTCTCCTTGCCTCTTGTGAGCTTCCATCTGGCACATCAGATTAGAGTCACTGCTTTGCAGCTCCTACTCCTGTGGATTTAATCTCTTTCAAAGTTCAACATGCTGTGGTCACACAAGAGCAGCTGTATAGTACAAAAAGAAGTGGACATATGAAATTTTGTAACCTTTTGTAACTGCAGAGCTAAAGAGACTTCCAGACCCACGCTGTGACTCAATTTACTATTGCTCAATCCTCACATTTAATTTTGCCACTCCGCTCCTTACACTTCAGTTTTTTTCTTCTGTAGCAAACAAGCTGCAACAATTGAAACTTTTTTTTTAGACTTAAAGTACATCTCCTTATAGAATTCAGATTGTACTTCAACCTTCAAGAGTCAGCAAATGTCATCACGAATTTTTCCACCATGTGATTTATCTTTTAATTTTTCCCTATTTGTGATCCAGTCAGGTAACATGACTCCAACTGAAAACAAAGGTTTAATCAAGTAGGACAAAGTCTAAGTAAAATCTAAACAAAAAAACACTTCGGAAGAATACTTTTTATATAAATAAAATACCAGCACAAAAATGTCAATCCCAATAAACCCTGGTAGACAATTACAACATAAAACTAAAATTTAAATACATTATTTTGGGGGAAGAGAGACTGAGACACTTCTCACCATAGCTTACACCCTCCAATTAACTGTGTTTCTTTGGGCTTCGTAGCATTTATGTAGCTTTGAGTGTAATTTTCCCTTAAGATAAAAAGCTGGTTTCAGATATAAAGCTGGTTCATAAGGTGTGGCCCAAGTCCTTCCCCAAACCAGTATCAAGTGCTACTTCCTTCCTTGTATGCACACAGAATTGAGACCACATTCAAGCACACAGCTCAAGCATTTAAAGAAATCTTCAACAGATAAAGAGACTCACAAGTACTCCCAGACACTGAGTTTTCAGGATTAGGGCACAATATTTTAATGCTGAGAACAAAATATTTACAAGAAGAATAAGGTCTTATCTTTCTTTCAAAAAGACAAACAAAAGGGGCAGAAGTTTTCAGAGGACAAGGAAGTTGTAGCTACACTCAGCATGAGGCACCAGTGAGCTTTGAAGCTATACAAATCCAACTCACTCCTGTACCTCAGACTTCCTATTTCTGACCACAAAAAAATTTGAGAGTGACCTTGAATGGAAGCAGAATATAGGGAGGAAAAAGAAAGAAACTAAAACACTAACTTCACAGTAAAAATCATACACAGTATTATGTAGGTATGATGCTCCACACCCTCCCAAATGTTCTGTAGACCTCTGAAAACTTGAGGAAATACCTCAAATCACACACACTGAACATACTAAACCTTCTACAACACAAGCTGCTCCCTATCCTAAGCACCCAGACTGCTGTGAAGGGCTTGCAGCTTCCTCCTGCCTTTAACTACACAGCCATGTCCCTGTACAACTCCCCATTCCACCTGTGTGGTAGGAAAGTATTACCAGCACATTACCTAGGAAAGGCTGGGACATGCATCTCATCAACACAAGCATGGTCCAAGTAGAAGGTGAAGCAACTAAACCGGAAAACCTTCAACCGCACTTTTAATATGGCCTTGTGCCCTGGAAAATGTCCTAAGGCTGAGGCAGAAGCTGAACTGCACTTCTGAGCAGGAGAAAGGAAGAGGAAACAGTTTATACAAAATAATCTAATTGCAGGTTCATAAGCAGTTGTTTTCCTTCATTTATGCAAATGTCCTGCAGTGGAATTGCTAAACAGGAGGTATTCAGGAGGAGTGAGATCACTGCCTTTATCCTGGTTATTATAAAGGGAAGTGCATTATCATTTACTAAGTTTATTTCTAAGCTTATAGGAATTAATTCTACAGTTACTATTATTTGCAAAAAGACCCAAAATGCACCACCTCAACATCAGATTTCAGACCTTTTAATTCTGGAAAATAATCGAAATAAAACCAGAAAACGAATACCAATGTCACTACAGAGAAGCTGATCAGCTTCTCTGCTCAAAACTGGTTCCTTTCAGGCTGCTTTTTTGCTATTTGAAGCTGAAAGCAAGAATTATTCCAATATTCCATTAAGAGCTACAATAACTGCTACACTCAATAGCTGTAATACACCTGTAGAATTTCCTTTTATATCCAACACTGAAACCTAATCCAGAAGACCATTACGTGTCAGACAATATAAGGAAGATGCTGTCTTTATGTAAGATTACATGGCATATGTCTGGATGCCAGAAACTTATTTCTTGACTCCACTGCACACAGACAGACGAGAACAAACAACCAAGGTCCTTCAAACTTCTGTTTCAGTGTCTCCAAAACTATCCTCTCCCTCTTCCCAAGAAGGAAGCTATTTGAAACACTAAACCTTTCCCTGCATCCCACCTTGCTAACAAGAAAGAATAAGAAATTCAACATCTTATAATAAAATTGCAATTAAGACTTTGCAGTCTCACAGCAAGTACTTTATATACCTTTAGTATAAGCAGGGCTGTGCAAGGGGAAACCTTCTCAGCATCATAATCTGACCATTTCAAAAGATGCCCATTATATTTTGGAAAGAGTAAAGGCAAGTATGCAGTGATAATTCTGCAGACTAAGCTGGGAGCATTGAAGATTTTACAGGTAGAGACAAAATACAGTCCTCTCCCTGAACCTCTGCCTTCCTGAACCTCTGAGGCTCTGCCCTCAGGCCTTTAGTCCTGAATTGCCAGCTTCTAGGAATAGCACAATTATTTGGCTTTCCAACAGTAAGTTAAAAAAAACAAACCAAATAAAAAACCCCAAACACTTTCCTACTTCTGATCCTTCATCTGTTAATTAACCTGAACTTCTGATCCTTCATCTGTTAATTAACCTGAATTACCACATTTCTTCTCTGCTACAAGTTTATCCAAGAATAAAAAACTTGCTTAATACCAATTGTCTTTAGTCATTCTATATCCCATGAAGGTAGGTTACAACCTAGCAGTCCTTCTGTTGCTGTATTAAGCAGCTGGACAAAAAAATTTTGGTTAATAGTTAATGACAAAATGTCCTTCCAGAGCTATTCACAGCTGAGTATCTAAAAATGGGCACAAGCAGTAAGAACATGTCATTAGGAGTAAGTATTGCAACAGCAATGTCATATTAATGTTATTTCATTAGAATTTTTAGGTTGGTATCTCACATTAACTAAAAAGCTTGGCAAACAAAACCCCACAGGTTCACAAACATGCACTTTGACTGAAAGCAAGTGTTCTTCTGTGAAGTGAGTCTGGTCAATTACAGACAAATTAACTTTCACATTTCCAAGCCATGTTTATTTGTGGAGGATAATGATGTTTCCTCTCCTTTCATAGGTATCCCTTTGTTAAACTGGTTCCTCCAGGAGATCAAATAACTCTTATCCTAAAGAGGTAACAGGAGCTGTTCCATTTGCCTCAGAGACCCAGTTTCTGGTTCCTGACCACACAGAGATGGTAATTTCAAATGACACCTCGTATTCAACAAACAAATTTCACAATGGCTCAACATGGGCACTATTTATTTATCTACTCACTAATGGTAAGATCACTGGATTTTTATGAGCTAAAAGTCTGCAGCTACAGGAGTTAGAGTTACTGTGTAATTAACAAAAAAGCAACACTGGCAGTCTGAAGGCTGAGACTGCACTTGCCAATTAGGAGTCTATTAGCACTACGTTTTCAAGCTGTCTCAAGAAATGCAATCATCTGTTTGGTAGCAAGGACAGCTAGAACAGTGTGATAGAAGTTAACTCATTTAGACAATAAATGCCTCTGAACAAAGAGTTCCCCCCCCCCATATGATCATATAAAAAACAGTTTAAATAATTCAGTAATTGTCAAAACAAGGAATAATTTAAAGTGACAGCAATCTTTAAGATATCAGTTCTATTTGTAGATGTAAGTTACCAAGACTAATTTATTTTTCAGAAGACGCATTTACCTATTGCAACTCCAATAAAATTATCTACGGTTATTAAAAGCCTTCTTCTCTTCACATCCTAAAAGGTCTTGGAGAACCTTTCAACTGAGTAGTCTTGAAGAATGCAAAACAAAACACACACCTACAAAAAATCACACAGTGAGGTTATTTGTTTACTAAGTATAAAGTAATGTCTTGAGAGGAAACACTGAGCACAGTCTGCAACCTACATTAGGATGATTCTAAACGGCTTGACAGGATGGGGAGAATAACCACTAAGAAACACACTGCTGTGACTCAGAATGGAGTAGAGAAAAAAAAACCCTAACTCCCAATAGGTCTCATTATTATTACAACAGATTAAAAAAATGCAGGCCAATCTCATTAAATAAGTTGAATATACACTAATATTTCTAATTGTATCCCAAATAAACCAGTTAATATCTATTAAGCATGCAGTCAATATTGAACTGGTCAGGATAGGACACACCCTTTGGATAAAGGGACAACAAGGTTCAACAGCTTTGAAGTGATTTCCTTATAACCCACAAATAGACACAGACAATACTGGTGTCACAAGAGTTTCATTCTCAGTGGCAAACCAAACACCTCTAGAAAGATTTAATCTATTTCAAGTAACAGTCTACATGGAATACCCACTTCACCATTCGGATATAACTCAAATATATGCCATCAGTATTTCTATTGCAATAAGCTGCAGAAATTGAATTGAAAGCTTCTCATATGAAGATCTGTTGGACCTCGAAATCAATTCGAACCTGAATCATTCAAAGTACCACCACACAAGACACAAAACTGTATTTCAGTTTATATCCTTTCTCAGAAGTTTGTGACCCAAGAGTGGAACCAGAATATTGATGCTTACCCTCCCCCCATCACAACACTGATACAAACAAAGGCTGGCTGGGGACTTTTAAGTTGTGAGGTGAGACAGGAGAGCAGCTTCAAACAAATTTAAACTTGCAGCTAACAAACCACTAATGGTACAGTTTTAAATAACAAAAATATGTAGAAATGTCTTATCATGGAAAAAGGCTTCACAGCCAACCTTCCTGTCCTTTCCCCATCACAAGGGTTTGTGGTGCCATGAGCAGCTGTTTGTAAAACATGTGGCCAAATCAGTTATTAACCGTAAAACTATGGGGGCTCTTTCAGCTGTTATCAGCAAGAGAGCACAAGCAAACACGGAACCACACACCAGCAGCACAAGGAAGGTAAAACAGGGAATAGCCAGGTATAAAAATGACTTAGTTCTCTCTTAGTAGAAAAATAATCTTAGAGCTCTTCAAGCTGCTTGTGAAATCACATGCTAAGGGTGTACTGCACTCAACTTGTACATTGGCCCCAGCCACTTATTCTTGCCCAAATACCATTCCTTCCTTTATGCCAGTACAAATACTTGTGTGACGAAGGAGTTAACTATACCAGGGAACCAATCCAGTGAAGAACTAAATTGGCAAAAACAACTGGTTAGTCAGAGATTCTCTCATCAAGCAGAAAGTCTGCAAGTGCCAGCAAAGGGAGAGAAGTGTGCAGGCAGTGGCAGACAGGAGGCTGAGAAACCTCTTTCACCATCAGCCTACGCTTACACTGACTGTGAAACTACAAACTCTGATTTCATGGCTTGGGTTTTGTTTTCTTTTTGGTGAAAGCGCTGACTGTGTTTGAAATTTCAGGGCAACTACAAAGGGAGATTTAACCCTGTTCCAATGTACTCCACTTACATGAGAACTTTAGGTCTCTCTCCTCTCCTCTGCCATCTCAGCACCGCTTCCTCAAATGTGCAACTCAATAGTACCGCAAACAGGTTTAGGGAACTACTCTAACTCAAACAATCTAAAAAGTCCTTTTGGGAGAGAAAGAGCTTCCAGTTGGATATATTCCTCTTTCCAATTCCTCACACAGCAACCCAAACACCATCATTACACAGCACACAGTGCAAGAATAAGTAATGAATACTTTCTGACTGGTACTGGAAAAAAGAGCACTCAAGAGCACCACAGGCTATACAGCTTTCTGGAAAGAAGTAAGCTACCACCTTGTAACAATTTCACACGACCTCACCATAGCATATTTTAGAAAAAAATTAGTACACCCCAGTTAGAAACAGATCTTGTTTCACAGAGGCAGAATAGAAGGACCATTTTGTTCTGGAGAGTTCTGCTCTTCTACACAACTGCTCTTTCTAAAGAGGCTACCAAGCATCATTTGAGCTGCATAACAGCTCTTCATTCCAAATGGAACAGGTAAATAAAGCTCCTGCTCCAAACTGAAACACGACAGCAGCTGTCAATCCTTGTGTCTAATTGGGTCCATATTTGACCTGTGTCAATAAGATCCAGATCACTACAAGGAGCTGGAAAAAGACCAACAGCAAATCTGACTGCTTCATTCACTTGGTACATTTACTACTAATTCTGCTTTTTATTCTCTTGCCCTACATTAGTTTTGCCTTATAAATACAAAAAATTGAAATAAGCATTTAAACAAAGACTGAAATATCCAACTTTTAACAAAATGTTATGCTATTGTACATTTTGTATCAGTAAAAGAACTATTAAAGGGAACAGCTCTTCTCAAGGAGTTTCCATTTCCTGCCCCTCTTCTTTAAATACCATCTCAGTTTAATTTCAGAGCACACAGTGGTAATTTGGAAACTGAAGTTCCTCACGAAGCACATGCCAGCAAAGTATTTGAAACATACTTGAAGCAACAGGTCAACGGGCCAGTTACACTCTGTATGTTGCAGATGAGTTCAGATTGGAATTATTGTATTATGACTTTGCACAAGCTGTACTCACACTTCAGAATAAATCAATATTCCATAAGTTCCAGAATGAAGCACAAAACTCTAAATTATTACATTTTTGTGTTCTTCATCCTGTGAAGCAATGCTTCACTCATTCTCCAGTGGCTTGTCTTTGTTTTTAGAAATAAACATAATTTTCATATAAATACAGAAATTAATTTAACACTTGAAATGAATGGAGATAAATATAAAAGAATCAGCTCAGCATTTTAAGATTGTATTTTAGGACAACTGCAACACTTAGAATTGCACACTGAAATAGCAAAGCCTGAGGAGAGAAAGCAGTACTGTGACCAATGCTTTTGAAGTAATTACATCTTCTATATGAAATAATTACGTAAATCAGCTAATATTCTGTAATACACTAACTGGCAACACAACCAAGAGGAATTAGCATAGAACTGAGTTAAGCACCTTGATCCTTTTGACCACAGCTGCACACAGTGATGTAGGTAAGGCTCTTATCCTTGACCAGTTTCATGCACTCCCCAAGCAGGAGCCCAGTCCTGCTTGACAAGGACACACAAAGCTCTGCTTTAGAGACCATTTCAAGAACACAGAAGTTGTCACACATACATCGCTTAGATTCCTTGAAAATACATAAAGCCAACACCTGAGCTAGCCTTACACAATATAAAACAGACTATTGTCAGCTACCACAGGGTGTAAAATGGCAATAACACATCTGAAAGAGCACTAACAAAAGCACCACTTGGAGTGAGCTGATGAAACTGTGTGCTTGGCCACAACTACCTTATACCAACTCTTAATAAATCCATCAGCTTGTCATATTTGCCTGTTTGATGGATTACTCCACAAGCTGAATATTCAGACAAGAGAGCACTGTACCTACGTATGTGAGATAACAGCATAATACTTTCACAGATGCTTATCTCCCATACTCAATTACATGGCCCAAAGACTAGAACCCTTTTCCTTCCTTATTAATACCAGCAATTTTCTGGAGTTTTTTTAAGGGAAGGAGGAAAGCCTGAAGAAGTAACTTGCTGTTACAAGTACTTGGCAGACACAGCAATGCCTGGCTGCAGAGCCAAATGCTACATTCAAATCCAGTCCTCCTTTGTATTGCCAAGACTTTCTTCTCTCTCTCAGCTCTCTGGTAAACAGGCAGAGGACAAACCCTTCCATGGCTGAAGATAATCATCATCATCTGGCTTGTAATAATAATACAAAATGCTGTTGTTAAAGCAGTTATCAGCAGGGCACCTCTTTAGCAGCAATAGGAGAATAACTCATGCAGTGAGGGTTAACTAACTGTCCCTTACATAACGCTGTGGGAAGTGTTCACTGCCCTGAAGATCTTGCTTATGCAAACCAAAATAAATCTTAAATATAGAGAAAACTAAATGATCCTGGGACTGAAGCAAAGGAGTTTACAGAGATTCAGATAGCAATGGACAAATGTTAGACAGTCATTTACCCTTCTACTGGATATATTTTATGATGGATCATTTACAATAATACCTGCTATTACTGAGTGAGCAACCAGCATTTCATTAAAGAGCTCAGGAGTCTGGGTGGACAAATCCGTGAACCACAAGAAAATCGCCTGTAAATAAGAACAATTACAGGCACGTTAAAAAGAGAAAGCAGTTAGGTGGAAGACTGAAAACCCTCAACTAAGGATACATGGGATCCTGCCTACTTTTGGGGAAAACGTGAGCATTCTAAAGGCAGAGAGCAATCAAAAGTCAACTGAAAGGTCGGTAATTGTAGGGTAAATGACTGGGGCACGTTTATCACATTAATATCCTGCAGACATAGCATGAGGTAGCAGACAGCAACATGAGACTGGAAGCCAACAAATGCAGATTTTTAACTGTTACCAGCACAATGTGACTTGGTTTACTTGACAGAATTCTCTTACCAGCTTCCCTCGTCTGTGACCTGGGAGTAAAGTGCAGGGTCTCATTACATGCTTTAGGCTACAACAGCAAGAAATTGCAATGACAATAGAAGCAGTAATTCACGCTATTTTACCAGTAATTTACCCTCCTCTTTACAGACTGTACAATTAGAAGCACTAAAGAAAACATGCTGTTTATCAACCAGAACTTCTCCCCTGCCTGGTTCTATTGGAGCTCATGACAACAGCTCCTTTAATCCTTCCTTCTCCCCAAACACTAAAAATCCTCTCTCTTTGCATAGATGTAGCAACAGAAT